AAGGTACTTCCTGGGAGATTTATTTACTTCACTCAGTATTGCGCTTCTATGACTGGGCAAAGTCTGCTAACCAAACCTCCTGATAGTTCCAACAGATATGCAGATTTTGTGCATTTATAGTGTCAGGGGAAAATCATCACGGAACTGTGCATCTTTACAACTTTTCATTTTTCAGAAAAGGAACAATTGGTTTCCTTGTACGTCCCTTTGGGAGTTAACCTGGCTTAAAACATGGTATAAATACATGCGATACGCAGGGGTCGTTTCGTAGAAAAAGAGCTAGGGGAACTCATTAGCATAACTCATTAGCATATGCCACACCCCCTGACATCACCGGAAGTGTGTCATAAGGCCACACACCCCGCCCCCAACGGTCCCGGCCGCCACTGCTGGCCTTGCAGCTCCACTGCCGAGCCCCATGAGGGGCCCGGCGGTGGACCTGCAAGGCCAGTGGGAGTGCAAGGAAGCCCCGCGAAGGCCCTCCCTGGCCCCAGGCAGGCAGGGGTGGGGAGAGGCAGGGAGAAAGCAACTTACCTTCCCTCTTCTCCTGCCTCCTCCTGGCTGAATGAGGGCCAGAAGCGGGGCGGCCGGAAGCAGGGGGCGGGGCTTCGTCATGTGCCCCCCCCCGTACCTCACCCGGGGGAACTGCGATCCCCTGCGATCCCCCCTGAAATGACCTCTGGATGCAACATATAATCGGCTTGATTGGAGCAGAGGAGAAATGCTTAGAGGCTGAGAAATGGCATCTGTATCTGATTAAGGGAACTGACTCAGAAAAGGTCCAGCCCTGAAAACCTGGCTGGTCTCTAAGGTGTGACTGGACTTTAATCCAGCTGTTCCATTTCCAGAGGCAGTCATCCTCTGAAACCCAGTGCTAGGAGGCAGCATCGGGGGAAGGCCTTGGCCTCTGTGCTCTAGGTTTTGTGGTTGTGGTTTTTTTGGCCTTCCAGAGCAACTGCTTGGCCACTGTGTAAAACAGCGCTGGACTAGATGAACCACTGGTCTGATCCAGCAGGGAGGTTCTTACACTATTATGTCCTTTTAAACTCCGAGAGAGCTTGTTTCTGAGACCCATGTGGACTAATAGAGTTTTGATTGCTAGAATGAAGCAAAATCCAGGTCTGATTTGCCGCATGGATTTCTGGTGCTTCTCCTCAAAACAACCCTTCCGATGAACTGGCTGACTGAGGGTGGATGAGTGTGAAGTCTGTTACTAGATCTAGGTCTTGTAGTGCTCATATATCTACTTACTCCATTTACACCCCACTGTCCTCCCCAATGGAGGTTTGTAACATTCTCCCCTTCTGCATTTTATCATCACAACCACCCAGTAAGGAATGTTAGGCTGAGAGTGTGTGACTGGCAAAGGTCACCCTGCAAGCTTTCACGGTAGAGTGGGGATTTGAACCCGGGTCTCCCAGATCCCAGTATGACACTCTAACTACTTGATCACTTAGGGGGTCTTAGGGCTAGGGTCTGTTTGCCAAAGTTAGAGGCCTGCAGCCAAAAAATTTGAAGGATATTTCAGATCAGGTTCACATATTAACTTCAGCTGTTCTGACGTATACAGTCCCTGGTCATTTGAGCATCTCTCCTCCATGTGTAATCTCTTTCTTTTCAAGGCTCCCTCCCCTTTATTCTTCCAAACTAGTATCTCTTTCCACCCCCATTTCCTTTGGATTGCTGCCCTATCAGGATCCTGTTCCTTCTGTCCTTCCTTCAGTCTGCCTACTCTCTTTAAGATCTATGCATTCCAGCCAATGAGTGCTCAAATAGATTTTAGGGCAGCATGACCATTCACTGCTCAGAGCTTCACCATCACCATGAAATTTCAAGTGCATCATATAGCCGGTGAGTTCCAGTAAGAACTCTGTATGAGAGCCACATTCCTGCAGTCTTAGGGCCAAAACTTCCAGTCCCATACAAATAACCACCCTAGTTCTTTATTGCAGTTCTCAGTTCAAAATTTAGCAGCTATATCAGACCTGTCAAATTCATTGTAGTCACATCGGTAAAGTTCTGGCTTAAAGAATCAATAGGAAGAGGGATGCGTATAGGTGCCCATGAAGATGAGGAAATGATCATTGTCACAAATTAGCCAACACTAGCAAAGACTTCTTCCTCTCTTCTTTTTTTTCTGTCTCCAGTCTTAAGCCAGATCTTCGTTTGAGCCAGGACCTCTGACCAGAATCCTGACATGATGGTTATGTTTTCATTAGACCATGCAAAATGAGCCCGCTTCTTGGGGTGTATTATCCAATTCCTTTCTATAATAAATTTCCCTTAATATAGTGGAAAGTGCCATCAAGGCACAACCAACTTGTGGTGACCTCCTAGGGTTTTCAAGGCAAGAGACATTCAGAGGGAGTTTGCCATTGCCTGCCTCTGAATAATAACCTTGGACTTCCTTGGTGGTCTCCCATCCAAGTACTAACCAGGGCTGGTCCTGCTTAGCTTCTGATATCTGACACTGGGCTAGCTTGGGCCATCCAGGTCAGGGCTTGCCATAATTCAGAGCAATATTTTAATATAAAGAACTTCCTTGAAAACACACGCTTTCTGGCAACCTTCGTTTGTTCACATATGTGCCTGGAAAATGTTTAGGTAGCAGTAGCTAGCATCAATAATGCAAAGAGCACTTTTACTGTACACAATGCTTTACAATGCATGTCTCATTAATTCTCCTAAGAGCATCATGAGGAGTAGGTGATTAATTTTTAGCTGGGAACCTGAGCTAGAAAGATAGGGGTATACCCAAGATGACTCAGATACGGCGAAGGCTTGGACACTTTACATATATGCAGATATAAAGAGAAACAAAATAGATCCGGTAATTTGGTCCTCGGCGGGCGGCGGCGGGGGGTGGGGGGAGGGCTGGTCAAGGGATGTGTATTTGCAAACTTCAGAGTAACCCACATCTTTACCTTTCTCTGTGTGCATGCAGTTGTATTGGTTCATTTAGCCAGGCTCCCAATTTTTTTGTTTATATAGATTTTGAAGGCAGGGCCGCCCCAAACCAAGAAGCCCCACAGAGAACCTTGTTTTCGTTTTGCCCACTCTTAAGAAAGGACGAATCGAGGCATTTCTTTCTGTCTCTCTCTCTCTGTGAAGGAGTGCAGTTTATCTTTAAGGAGGCTAGAGAAATAAGAAATGAGGCTCACGTTGCACGGGTGACATCACTGGCTTCTGGCTGGGGCGCTCTGTATTCTCTGGCTGTCGGCTTCAGCCAAGGCTGCGGGGTGGCGTGTTTGAAGAAGGCAGGATTCCCAGGTGGGCAGAAGACTTGGAGCTGCTCGTATTTGGGTTACTAAGGGTGGGTGGGGGGCGCGTTAAAGAAAGCCCGCCATCCTCCACACAGGGCAATGAGATCCCCAAAGCTCTCGGACGCTTCGGATCGCCGCCGTCGGCTTCCGCTCTCTCGACGAGATGGGTGAGTTATTCCCCTCCGGGAGCCCAAGGGGAAGGCGAGACCAACGCCAGTAAAATGTCTGACTCTACCGTACAGCTGTCGATGGCGGGACCCTGCCTCGGAGGAAGCTCTTGAGGGCCGAAAGAGCTCGGCTCTTGCCCCCGGGGGATCGGGCCCTGTGTCATGGAAATGGTGCAGACCGCCAGCTATTGACAAGAGGCTCCCCCCTCCCCTTTACTTGAATCGGCGTTATTTCTTTCTTTCATCCCCACCCCTCCCGACTGAGCATTATTATTTTTTAAAAGAGCCGGTATAAGCACAGAGGAAGAAAGGTGCCTGTCTGTAAATATATGTACATTCGGGAAATCTTGCTCATCCGAAAACGGAACCTTCGGTGTCAAAAAGAACGGGGCAGGCGGTGTAATAGCAGGAGGAGGAGGAGGAGGAGGAGGAGGAGGGAAAACAAAAGATTCCGGGGGCTGGGTCTAGCGAGAGGAAGCTGGCGCTGTCCGTGGTGCTGAATCGCGCCGCTCCTCCAGCCCCCACAGTTCCCGGGCGCCGCTCTCCAGCCGTCTGCCGCACGCCGCTCCCGGGGAAGACCGGGGGGAAAACAAGCGCCCAAGCAGAGGGTTTGCCGGCGACGCTGGGCGGTCGAGGAGACGAGAGCCGCGGAGCCGCTCCTCTTCCCTTTGCGCCCGGCCGTTCTCGAGCTCCAGACGTTCTTCTCTTGACGTTGCCTGGATCACGGGAGCAGGCGACACAACACAACGCCGCCGAAAGCTGCCGGCGAGAGGGAGGCGAGAAGGTGGACTCCCCAAACCGCTATGCCGGCGCGTTGCTGCAGAGCTACAGGAGTTCCGGAGCTCGGAAGGAGCTCGAATGGAGCCGGGCGTTAGGCAGGGAGGGAGCTGGTTTGCCTAAGCTCGGGATCCAACGGCGACCAGGCGGCAGCTTTCCCTGCTCTCTCCGCCCTTCGACAACCAGCAAGCCTCCTAACGCTGACCCGAGATTCTTGCCAAAATAATAATAAAAGCACGCTGGGAATCGAGGTAACTGGCTGCTGGGAAAGCGGAAGATTGCCAGCTGTTTTCGGTGCGGGGGGGGGAACACCTTGATTCCCAGGCATATTTACCCCTGCGGATGTGATTCCTTAAAGGGATGATCCCGATATAAAAAAGCCACTCCTCTCGCATTCCCGAGTGGGCAAGGCTGGAAGAGCTCAGTGGACCCATCCAGATGGCCAGACACAAGGAGGGGATGCTTATCTGCCGCTGAGTACTCTTTGTGGCCAATGACAGGCATCTCTCTGCTTTGCTTGGTACCATATTGACTTAAGTGGAAGCTTCACAATTACTGGCCATTTTGCCTCCCTCTGGTCCACCGGAGAAGTGGATGAGTGCTCAGGATCCTTTCCTTCTGGGGGAGAAGTTTCCCTGCCTAGAGGCTGTTGAACCTCCATCTGCTTGTATGTGATCACTGAAGGAAGTCACTGTCCTGTCCACCTTGCCCAGGAGCTGGGCTCATAGGGTACCAGGCGGAAGGGCTTTGCCTCTCACTGAAGATGCCCATGGTGTTTCTGTGAAGCTAAGGTATGGCTGCCGGAAGGTTATTGCTCTATGCTGGTCTCTCCTTAGCATTGTGTGCTTTAGGCATGCTGGCCGTGGCCATCTGCTCTGACCATTGGTACGAAACTGATGCCAGGAAGCACAGGGAACGGTGCAAAAGCTTCACCACTCGGAGGAATGACCCTGGTTTCATTTATAATTCTAATAATAACCTGCCCCTCAGGGCCAGCAGGTCTAGGCTGGACCGCTGGGAAGGGAAACTTCTCTTGGCAAGAAATAGGAGGCAGCTCTTTGCCATGAGTGCCGTTGATGAGTGCAACAGACAGTACAACTCTACTAACATGGGGCTCTGGAGAAAATGCCACCGCCTGGGATTTGACCAGGACCTGGAGGAACTCATTGCTAAAGGTAGGGTCTGCTTTTCGGGATGCACCTACCTTGTCCAAAGTGGTATGTTTCAACCAAATGCTAACCTCTACTCAAAGCAGAGCTTTCTTACTTACACCCATAGTCTTCTCCACTAGATTGCCTCATTGGTTTCACAGTCATGTGGGAGATAGTTCTTCCTTATTGAGTTCAGCACTGGGGAGTGTGGTTGGGGACAGTGCTGTGAATAGCTTGATGAGAACATTAAGAAAGGCTGAGGACCTACCAGACTTCTAGGCCTTCACAGGGAGAGGTTCGGAAGGTCATGAAACCTACCTCCTAATTCACGTGTTGCCATTTTTTTAAATAAGGCCATACATCATGGTGGCATTTAGGATTCTTCCTCAATGCATAAACAGTACAGAGAACCTACAGTGTCAAGCATTTTGAATCTGATTGTGCTTCACTGAATCCAGCTAATTTGTTTTTTGCTTGTCGGTAATTTTGTACCAGAAACCTAGATTATTTCTGAATTGAATGTATAATAGGCTTTTTAAAATATTGACTGGAGAACAAACAAAGGGAAATGCCAAAGGGACACACACACACACACACACGGAGCTCTTACTGGTTACAGGTTATTTCAAAACAGATCCTTAAATCATTTCAAGTGACAAAAATCATGTTACAGTGAAGCAGGAAGAAAGGTCTAAACAGGAAATATATTGTCCCACCCCCAAGATAATCTGTGGTCTGACAGCATCCTCATAGTCTATCCCCAACCACCTTTATGAGGAATATGTCTAACAATGATGATCAATATGTTAGCATTGTATCATAGTACACAAAATGGATCTGATGTGGCCACTTTTGTCAAAATGTTTATCTGAGGGAAATATATGAATTTGCAAGATGCGTGGGTGCTATCAGCAGAGAAGTCTGCACCATCCCCTGCCCATAATAGTGTGTATGCAAATGCTACGAAAAAGGAACAGAATCTCCTTCAGTGGTTGTCAGGATGCATTGCAAGGATCACCTTGCACACAGTGAGTAGGCTGGTTCCTCCCCCCCCCCCTTTTACAGGGCTTGTGCTTCAGAAATATGAAATAGCGGCAATGCTTCCTTAAGCTCCGTTTTCTTTCTTGTTTGCTTTGGCTTCTCTTCTGCTTGGATTCCAAGGGCATTTGTATACACAAATAACTTTGCCTCCATTTGGTTCGCACAAGGCTTCCAAAGGTTGACATTGTGACATCAGCCAACCTTAGCCAACGAGAAATCCGATTGGAAGCCCAGTCGGCTCTTTGTTACAACTTCAAAGGCCACCTTGAGTTTAATGGCCAGAAGGCGTTCTGGGGGGGAGCGGCTGTTTGGTGACTTCATGAAATGCACTGTTGGCTCCGGTCCATTTTGTAATGGGCAACCATCCATAATCAAAAACTGTCATCGCAGTTGGCACCCTGGTTGGCAAGCTCAGCAGGGAAGCCAAGAATGCTTTTGGGTCAGGCTTCAGGTTTATTGCTCTGAAAAGGATAAGAGTAAAATGGGAGGGGGGGATTCCAAACTGGTAAACAGAAAAGGAAATTTATGGACCAGTCTACTTTTCCTTGTGGCAACTCTACTTTAGCAATTTGTTTCTTCCCTTGTAAAGCCTGCATATTACCTATGAAATGCTTTAAATTGGCCAAGTGCTTTGCCTTTTAATGTATTTGCCCTTGCTCAGATCTGTATGATTCCATTTTAACAGATGTGGAGAGGTGGCAGCTTGGACATGGAGTGATGTGGTTGATAGTTTAATGGTTAAGATCCCAGTTTTGCTATGGGGCTCCATGGGGCTAGTCTGTGGCTCACTAGCAGGCCACAAGCCTTGCATGCAGAAGGCCCCGGATTCAGTCCCTGGCCTCTCAGCTGAAAGAATTCCAGGCAGGAGATGTTGGGTGTTGGGAAAGACTTTTCTTTGTTTGAGATTCTGGAGAGCTGCCACCAGAGTAGGCAGTGCTGAGTTAGATGAACCAATCATCCAGTTCCTTCAAAGAGAGTTTCATGTGTTCCTATGTCAACCTGGGTCAAGTCACTCTCTCTCTATGTAACCTGCCATACAACATGAACATCCAATGCCCCTCGAAGCTCCCCAAAGGAAGAACAAAGTACATACAGAACAAATACTAACAAGAAATGCAGTTGGAATTCTTGTCCCACCTGAGTTCTGGGACCTGGGCCATTTGGGGGTGGAATGGCTCGAAATAATTTATGGTTCCAGCCCAACCACAGATAGTCGCAAGCAGGTCTGTGCCACTGAGATTTCCAAGTATTTAAAAATCTTTTCTAACAACTATATTGGAGAGGACAGCAAATCTGAGTCCTAACAAACAAAACTAAAATGAGAATGGAGATTTTAAAATGCTTGGACATTCCAAGGGCACAGACCTGCTGGTGATTGCTTGTGGCTGGGGTACACTTCTAACTCCAGAGGAAGGTAGCACCCCACACCACACATGATATGAAGCCCTAGCCCGTCATAATCCATAGGGCACTGTGAGCACAAAACGAGAACTAGAAATACAAGCAGAGTTAAAAAAAAATCTGTAATGTAATAGTTTGATTTTGGTTAAAATATAATTAAAATCTCAATGTAATTTTCTAAACAATTCTATCCTTTTCTGTTAACCTAACACAAGCTGAAGGAGAAATACTGTTAATCTAACACAAGTAAAAGCCAAAATGAGGCCCTAAGATTAATAGCAACTAGATAAATTGGTTCCACCATTAAAAATACCTAGGTAGGCCAGACCTGTCCTGAAGGTCACTTCTGCCTGTGGGACTGGGGGTGGATCCTACCTGTATCCTACCACTCCACTGAGCAAGGTTTATTTATTAATTAAAATGTTTATATCCCACCTTTCCTTTAGGCTCAAGTGTGATGGCTTCCTCCAGTCCGGGGAGACTTTCTCCATCTTAAATGGGTCTTTCTCCATTTAAAGTGGAGGAAGACTTCTTAGACTGGAGGAAGGCTACATGCAATGCTCACTCTAAGCTGTAGGTTCTTGTGAGCAAAAATTCTACTTTGTGAGCGACTTGCATTACAGTTGTGAGTGAGCGATTTGGCTACTGCATAAATTAGTTTGCTCTGGAGCCATCCTTCCTGAGCTAAGACAAAAATCTATGAGCTGGAGGCTAAAAAAACTGTAAGCTAGCTCACACCAACTCAGCTTAGAGGGAACACTGGCTACATGGAGGATGGATTGGATCCATCCCAATGTGTGGGTCATGATGATACAGCCATATGTAAACTCTGAGTCATTACACAATAACATTTCTGCCTTGGTATCTTTAAATATTTGGGACAGGATCACATTAGCATGTTCCAAAGTGAATGGTACAAGAGTGAATGATACAAGGACTTTGCTGCTGGGATTGTAATGCTTTTTTGGGGGGGGGATCAGTCTTGTAGTATGCCGGTGTGTCAGGTACAGGGGGGTACCCAAGTTACCACAGGGGAGAGTAAGGAACTTGCAAATGCTATGTAAACCACCAGCAGTAGTTCCAAGCTGCCACTATACAAGGTATCCCTTATTTGAAATGCTTCCTTTTTGTTTTTTGTTTCCAAGCTTGCGGTTGCCATATCTGGAAAAGCTGGTGTTTGGAAGTGTCTTGGGAAGTTTACTTAAGACCAGACACACAGCTATAGGAGCCACTCAGCAGGGTTGGTTTTTTTTGGGGGGGGGAGGCATGCAAACAGGTGCTATGCATGGTTCACTGGTAGTGTACATACTTTATATGCAGTTGACCCCTCAGGTTCAGCCGCTGACATCTCAGCTTAAGAGATCTCAGCCAATGTTGGGGAAGACCTTTCTCTGCCTGAAACCCTGCCAGACAGAATAGATAATACTGAGCTAGATGAACCAGCGGTCTGAAAATAAGTACTTCCTGTATGAAGAACTAAGGAATGGTGCTGGGGATCTATACAAGTGTTGGTTTCCACAGGATCTAAAATATCTCTTAAGGCCTTTTTACAGAGGTACACATAATGTGCCATGATCTGGATAGCCCAGGCTAGCTCAATTTTGCAAGATCTCAGAAGCTAAGCAGGGTCGGCCCTGGTTAGTACTTGGATGGGAGACAGCCAAGGACGTCCAGGGTCACTATGCAGAGTTAGGCAATGGCAAACTACCTCTGAATGTCTCTTGCCTTGAAAACCCCACAGGGGTCACCATAAATCGGCTGTGACTTGCCAGCAAAAAAAAAAGTAATATGGATGAAGACAGTGACCAGCAAAACATGCGTTTGAGTATGATCTTTCAGTGGATATGCACCATTTAGTAAGGAAAATGTGGCTGATTTCCAACTATGAGCAACAGAAGAAGTGGATGACTTTCTTGGGCTGAGAATTCATGAAGCACGAGGAGAAACGATGCTCACATCAGCTCATAGCAGCAACAGTAAAAGGTCAACTTGCACTGATTTCCAACCATGTGAGGCCATGCTGAGCTCCACCGGAATTGCTGTAGCCCTACACTCCATCTCACCTGTGCCTTGGTCTGCTTTGTATTTTAGTTCTCAATGGAGATGGGTTTCCACATTTCAGACGTAAATGAAACATGATAATGTCCAATTTTGAGACTTGATTAATCTTGGTTTTGAGACCTAAGTGATCTTGGTTTTGGAAATATATGTATATTGAATATCAGCTTTTTATATGCTGTGGGAGTACTTTAACAACTCAGGTGAGAGCAAACAGATACAAACAATTGGTCCCCCCCCCCCCTAAATTATGAGTCCCCTCAGGGGATTAACAAAGGTCATGCCTGGCCATCTTAATAACAATGTAATTATTTCTCCATAGTAACTATTTTTTAAAATAAAATCAAGTAGTCTGTGACATTTAATGGTTTACAATGTGAGTAGAATTAGATTGGATATATCTTCCTTAGTAACTTAGGTGTTGATTGCTTTTAATTGTTAGTATTAGGATATTTTAAGCTTGTTTTGTGTAGATTAAAAAAATCGTAGCCACTCATTCTAATCCTAAGAGATAAGGCAGGCAA